GCCCCCCCCCCCCATGGGGGAAAAGTAAATGTTTTCCCCTGTTCACCGAAATTCTCTGATTGAAAATAATATGATCTCTTATTTCTTATATTTTATATTAAAGACGAAACATAAGCTATTCATTTTTCAGATATAATATCATGTTTCTGGAAAGTTACAGTTTTTGGAATGTGACTTTACTGGCAAAAGGTTGTTTTTAAGCTTGTACAAGATACATGCAATGATGATTTATTTTATACAATATAATACAGTAAAGACGGTTATCACATTATGCAACATATACGTGTTTACATAAATATAAATAGCATGGAAACCCAGCTTTGACTCGAATTTCACTATAAAAGTCCCCCCCCCCCCAGTTTTAAAAAGAAAGAACATATCCAAAATTTAAATTTTAGGCCAATTAATCCAATAACTGTATACAGAAGAAGAAGATCTAAATTGCGTCATTATGGGTACAACTTTGTGACCTCGTAGCTTCTCTCTAGTTCGAATTCAACGTCATAGAAGATATCAATCTTACGTATAACGATGCAATTTATTTTAGTTTAAATTGGAAAAGTTATGATCGGACAGATCCAAACAAACAAACATAAATTTATAACTTTATATACCAAGAGAGGAACTTATGTGTCGTGAATCTTGAGATTAAGCTTTCCTCTCCACGTCATGCAGAAGTAAAAAAGGAGTTTTTTTACACAAACCCAAATTTTCTAATCCCTATATCTTTTCATCCTGATGTTGCAAACCTCTGATATTTCAAACTAAGAATATTACATCTAACATAATTTGAAATATTAAGGCTCTATAACGAATACGGTTTGCAGATATATATAGGAATTAAAAAATCTAAGTTTGTCGCGAAAACTCAATTCCTTTATAATTCCTGTTTAATATCCCGTGATGGTCGAATTCTCACATTTAAAAGTGACCACATTGGATATCGAGATCCAAACATTCAAGTTTAACGATATTCTTCCCTAAAGTTCCAACCTAAGAATATAGATTTTTAGATAAAATGTTTTATTTAATCTGGTTGATTAGATATATTATTTACAACTACCAGAGAAAACTTGGGGGAGCTGGATTCGACTATAAGGTATGTTTTTTACGCAATTTACGGGATTATATTCGACTATAAGGTATCTTTTTTACGCAATTTACGGTATTATATTCGACTATAAGGTATCTTTTTTACGCAATTTACGGGATTATATTCGACTATAAGGTATCTTTTTTACGCAATTTACGGGATTATATTCGACTATAAGGTATCTTTTTCACGCAATTTACGGGATTATATTCGACTATAAAGTATCTTTTTTACGCATATTACGGGATTATATTCGACTATAAGGTATCTTTTTTACGCAATTTTAGGGATTATATTCGACTATAAGGTATCTTTTTTACGCAATTTAAGGGATTATATTCGACTTTAATGTATCTTTTTTACGCAATTTACGGGATTATATTCGACTATAAGGTATCTTTTTTAAGCAATTTACGGGATTATATTCGACTATGAGATATTTTTTTCACGCAATTTACGGGATTATATTCGACTAGGAGGTATTTTTTTCACGCAATTTACGGGATTATATTCGACTATAAGGTATCTTTTTTACGCAATTTGAGGGATTATATAAACGTAATTTCAAGTAACCCTTCAAGTGAAGATTGCAACACCCGAATCCCCACGGTATCCTTGAAACCTTTCACTGATCAATAATGTCGTTTTCTTGGTTATTTGCATTTATCGAAGTTTGTAGTAATAGTTTAATCTTTTTTGAGGAAATCTTGCTCTCTCGTTTGTATTTCAAACTCAAAAGATTATTTTTCCTTCACTTTCATTAGTGATGTTTACTTCTAGGGTTTACTTAGTATATCTCTCTAAGTCTAGTTAAGTAGATATATATATATAATGTATATTGTACACCGCATGCAATCTAGACCTCAGATATTCATATATCCAACCCTAGAGCAACTCAGATAAGATTAAGAGTTAACCCTATCACTGATGGGGGGGGGGGGGCTGGGGGTGTGTCTGACAATTTTACCATCCATTCCCCACCAGCAATACTGGTTTTTAATTACCCCTTCATGCAGTAACGCTCTTAAGCAAAATTATCTATCAGAATTTTGCCAATTTCTCGTATAAAACAGAACTAGAAACATCAAGCAAGTTACAGTTTTAAAATGAACATGTCTTTAAGCTTTGTTAAAGCGGACCCAGGACCACATTTAATGAATAGCGAAAAGTAGTTAAAGCGGACCCAGGACCAGATTTAATGAATAGCGAAAAGTAGTTAGTGTGGACCCAGGACCAGATTTAATGAATAGCGAAAAGTAGTTAAAGCGGACCCAGGACCAGATTTAATGAATAGCGAAAAGTAGTTAAAGGTGTGGACCCAGGACCAGATTTAATGAATAGCGAAAAGTAGTTAAAGTGGACCCAGGACCAGATTTAATGAATAGCGAAAAGTAGTTAAAGCGGACCCAGGACCAGATTTAAATAATAGCGAAAAGTAGTTGAACCATATACCAGCCAGTTAAACCAGTTCTCTTGTAGTTCAGCTACTTTCCCTGCTTATTAAAAAAAACCATAGTTTTTTAACTGAACGAACGAATTTTTCAAAAGATAATGACTAAAACGACAGGGTATTTCTGAACAATTTTTAAAAAACTATCATTATTTTACTGATAAAAACGATTTTTTCCAACAAAATTTTGAAAAAAACGATAGTTCGAACGAATTTATTGAAAAAACGATGTTACTGAACGAACGATTTTACCAAACGATCATTTACTGAGAAAACGAACGAATTAGATGGAAAATTAACAATATTTTTTAGGACGAATGAAATAAATTATTTGAAAATACCCAGAAAAAAACGAACGAAATGGGTCATTTTCGAACGATGAACGAACAAAATGAAAAAAGCCGAACGCGCTTATCTCTTTTCAGCAGAAGGGATCGGAGTTGTTTACATTTTACTATGATGTAGTAGGACAGCTGAGGAACTAAGAGAGGCGGGGATTGCCGGAAGGGGGAGGGGGGTAACTTTTACCAATACTTGCAATTTTTTACCCCTCCCTGTAAATGCTTTTCAACAGAAGTTATTTATTTTCAGAATCATTTTCTTTGAGAATTCTAGAAATTGAGTGAAATGAGAAATTTGAAATGTCACCAACAATTTAACCCTGTGAATAGAATCCCAGGCAAACTTTAAACTTATTCCAAATATCTAAAAGAAATTACAAGGGTAAATATTTTCTAAGCATTATAACTCCCCTCTACCCCCCCCCCCCACGGTGAAATAATAAAAGATTAAAATTCACAAGGAAAGTGACCTCACCATTTTTGATTCGTTTTACCAAAAACCTCATTATTTTTCCCATAAAATCTTTTTTTGTCCAAAATAAAGCAAACAACCCCGTGGAGAAAAGGTTGCCGTTTTTTTAAATGGCGGGGTGATTTTCAATAAAACGTACACCCCTGATGATTTCTCTAAATATTTAATAGCAGGGTGGGTATGATTGTGTAAGCAAAATATAATTCAATGCAAATTGAACTATGGAGTGGGGAATAGTTATATATAGTTATAGTTTTATATTAGTTATATTCACAATGTTGTATACTAGATACACTATAGATTTGTATACTTCTTCTCCTTAGTTATATTCACAATGTTGTATACTAGATACACCATAGATTTGTATACTCCTTCTCCTTAGTTATATTCACAATGTTGTATACTAGATACACTATAGATTTGTATACTCCTTCTCCTTAGTTATATTCACAATGTTGTATACTAGATACACCATAGATTTGTATACTCCTTCTCCTTAGTTATATTCACAATGTTGTATACTAGATACACTATAGTTTTGTATACTTCTTCTCCTTAGTTATATTTACAATGTTGTATACTAGATACACTAAAGATTTGTATACTCCTTCTCCTTAGTTATATTCACAATGTTGTATACTAGATACACTATAGATTTGTACACTCCTTCTCCTTAGTTATATTCACAATGTTGTATACTAGATACACTATAGATTTGTGTACTACTTCTCCTTAGTTATATTCACAATGTTGTGTACTAGATACACTATAGATTTGTGTACTCCTTCTCCTTAGTTATATTCACAATGTTGTATACTTGATACGCTATAGATTTGTATGGTCCTTCTCCTTAGTTATATTCCCAATGTTGTGTACTAGATACACTTTAGATTTGTATACTCCTTCTCCTTTTTTATATTCACAATGTTGTATACTAGATACACTATAGATTTGTATACTCCTTCTCCTTAGTTATATTCACAATATTGTATACTAGATACACTATAGATTTGTAAACTTCTTCTCCTAAGTTATATTCACAATGTTGTATATTAGATACATTATAGATTTGTACACTCCTTCTCCTTAGTTATATTCACAATATTGTATACTAGATACACTATAGATTTGTATACTTCTTCTCCTAAGTTATATTCGCAATGTTGTATACTAGATACACAATAGATTAGTATACTTCTTCTCCTAAGTTATATTCACAATATTGTATACTAGATACACTATAGATTTGTATACTTCTTCTCCTAAGTTATATTCACAATATTGTATACTAGATACACTATAGATTTGTGTACTCCTTCTCCTTAGTTATATTCCCAATGTTGTATATTAGATGCACTATAGATTTGTATACTCCTTCTCCTTAGTTATATTCACAATGTTGTATGTTAGATGCACTATAGATTTGTACACTCCTTCTCCTTAGTTCTATTTACAATGTTGTATACTAGATACACTATAGATTTGTATGTTTGTTCTCCTTAGTTATATTTACAATGTTGTATATTAAATGCACTATAGATTTGTATACTCCTTCTCCTTAGTTATATTCACAATGTTGTATACTAGATACACCATAGATTTGTACACTCCTTCTCCTTAGTTATATTCACAATGTTGTATACTAGATACACTATGTATTTGTATACTCCTTCTCCTTAGTTATATTCACAATGTTGTATACTAGATACACTATAGATTTGTACACTCCTTCTCCTTAGTTATATTCACAATGTTGTAAACTAGATACACTATAGATTTGTATACTCCTTCTCCTTAGTTATATTCACAATATTGTATACTAGATACACTATAGATTTGAGTACTCCTTCTCCTTAGTTATATTCACAATGTTGTATATTTGATACACTATAGATTTGTATACTTCTTCTCCTTAGTTATATTCACAATGTTGTATATTAGATGCACTATAGATTTGTATACTTCTTCTCCTAAGTTATATTCACAATGTTGTATACTAGATACACTTTAGATTTGTATACTCCTTCTCCTTAGTTATATTCACAATGTTGTATACTAGATACACTATAGATTTGTGTAACATAAAAGTGTATTACACGAAGAGACAAAACCAAACATAACCTCAAAGATGTATTCTCTTCATAATCGAGGAATGAAAACTATAAAACTTTAATACACAAAATCCTTGCAAGCTTCTTGTTTTAATAACCATAGTTTGAATTGCAATAAAGATGCATAAGGAATCTGTATATTTAAAGGGTCTGTAAGCATAATTTTAAGTGACCCGCTATGCAAAGAGGACAATGCCCGATTCACAACGATACCTTTAAACCCTTTTACGGCTTATAGAGTAGAAAGATCTCTCTATTTGAACCTATTGAAACCCGCTTGAATTCCGCTAAAACGCCATGTACTCTTCGCGTTTATCCAAAGTAGATCGTTTTACGTTTACAGCGTTTCTAACAATCAGAGTTGTTTCTTTTACTCCCATTCATTGCAGTACAAATATATAAAGGCTCTGAGAAATTCCTAGGTTCAAATTTAGTTGAATAATTGTGAGAAAAAGAAAGTAATTTTCAACGATTCTCCTTTTACTCCGCGCATCCTTAAATCTATACATATTTAATAATGAAAGTTTAGCAAGAAATTAATTATTTAAGATTTCTGATACTCTAAAGAAGTTTAAACTTTTATATTCAAACCCCCACAAAGAAAACTGGAAATGGAAGCATTAAAGGAAAATATTGTAAATCTGCGCAAGCTAATAAACACATTAGAAAATAAAATTTATCATAAAATAATCAATTCCTAAAGGCAAAAACTGGGACTTTTTATTCATTATTGTGCAATGGACATCACGTAGATTCCGACTGCAATGAAAAATTCAACTTTAAAGTGTCGCATCACCTTAGCTTTTGATTTTACTCACTAACTTACTTACCTTTTTTGTGGCCTAAGAAATGTTCATTTCAAAACTGGAAAGGGCTTGTTTTTTCGGATTTGCCATTCTATGTTGCGCGCACATGCCCCGTAAAATTCCAAAACAGAGAGAGGGGGATTGAATTTTGTAGATCCAGAAATTAGTATTTATTTAAGGTTAGGTTAGGTTAAGACACTTTCTGGGACCAAGCGCTGCGGCTAGGACAGGCTAGGGGGCCGAGCGCTGCGGCCACATGTCTTACATTTAAGACCCCCCCCCCCAGCTGCCAGTCTCTACGCAGGCATCCCACAGATATTATTTTTCTGGATCTACAAAATTCAATCCCCCTCTCTTTGTTTTGGAATTTTATGGGGCCTACGCGCGCAACATAAAATGGCAAATGCCTTGTTTTTTCTTCACATTTTGAGGAGAGATTGGCAATAATGAAATATCTATGGTCTACGATATTGGGTTGCAAAGATATAATATAATATCAGAGTTTTTGGCAAAGACTCAACTCCTTAGCCTGAGAATTCATGCAACCTAATGTTTTCGCATGGCACTCTAAACTAAAGGGGTTAAAAAAAAAACACTAAACTTTTTTTTTTCTCCGGCTTAATCATTATCTAATTCATGTGAAAATAATATCATAATTTATTTAAGATTTCAGGAGTACATGGTTAGAAATTTAACGGATTTTGTCAACTCTGCTCTGAATAAATGCACTTTATCTTTTATGGATGAAATGCTTATCTGCAAAAACACATTAACAAAGCTGAAGGAGGTCCAGGACTTGCTTAAAATGGACAATAATCTATTCAAATGTGTTAACTATAAACTGACTGAAGCTCTAAAAAGCTCTGATACAAGTTCATGGCGGAGATGATATGACCTAACACCAATTTGGAGTATAAAACTACCAGTTCCTTCACTTCTTCTTCAACAAGGAGAACAGCTGCCGGGGACCATACTTATAATCTGATGGAACCATATTCTATTGCAAAAAGGAATGTACCTTACTATCCTAAAGCTTTTACTTGTGTAAATCAACTCTAACCGGGTTCATGAGGGCTCAGCTTGATAGCAGGACAAACTTGTAAACAGCCACCTCAACCAGCATTTTATACTGTCAGCAATAGCTTCGATACAAGTTCGGTTTACACCTAACAATATCCATGAAGTTTTAAAATGTCCGGCCTATTATTGAATATTTGGGCCGTAGTAAAAAAGAAGGTTGCCAAGGAAGAAATGTGAACTGAATGTCAACTGAAGCAGTGTTGTGAGACTGGGAAATCCCAGCCGGTTAGGCTGAGTAGCTCCATCATTAAGAGATAAAGAGCATTTATTAAGAACAGGGTTGACGAAATTCGATAACTTAAAGACAATGTGATATAGATTTCATTTTGATTGTGTAATAATTGAGCCTGTGAGAGAAAAAAGTATGAAGTTTTTGGTTTTATTTTTTACACCCTGACTATTTTAATCTATGTAGGTGATTGGGAAGTGGTTTAAGAATCTAGAGATGGAAGCTTCAGCAGTGGAATGGGGATCAGATATATCTAGATTGGGGGGAGAGTTTCTACCAGTATCCAGGTAAAGATTCAGCAGTAGAGGAGAGTTTCTACCGGAATCCAGGTATAAGATTCAGCAGAAGAGGAGAGTTTCTACCAGTATCCAGGTACAAGATTCAGCAGAAGAGGAGAGTTTCTACCGGAATCCAGGTATAAGATTCAGCAGAAGAGGAGAGTTTCTACCAGTATCCAGGTACAAGATTCAGCAGTAGAGGAGAGTTTCTACCAGTATCCAGGTACAAGATTCAGCAATAGAGGAGAGTTTCTACCAGTATCCAGGTACAAGATTCAGGAGTAGAGGAGAGTTTCTACCAGCATCCAGGTACAAGATTCCGCAGTAGAGGAGAGTTTCTACCAGTATCCAAGTACAAGATTTTGCAGTACAGGAGAGTTTCTACCAGTTTCCAGGTACAAGAGTCAGCAGTAGAGGAGAGTTTCTATCAGTATCCAGGTACAAGATTCAGCAGTAGAGGAGAGTTTCTACCAGTATCAAGGTACAAGATTCAGCAGTAGAGGAGAGTTTCTATCAGTATCTAGGTACAAGATTCAGCAGTAGAGGAGAGTTTCTACCAGTTTCCAGGAAAAAGATTTCGCAATAGATGAGAGTTTCTACCAGCATCCAGGTACAAGATTCACCAGTAGAGGAGAGTTTCTACCAGTATTAAGGTACAAGATTCATCAGTAGAGGAGAGTTTCTAACAGTATCCAGGTACAAGATTTAGCAGTATAGGAGAGTTTCTACCAGTTTCCGGGTACAAGATTCAGCAGTAGAGGAAAGTTTCTACCAGCATCCAGGTACAAGATTTCGCAATAGATGAGAGTTTCTACCAGTATCCAGGTACAAGATTCAGGAGTAGAGGAGAGTGTCTACCAGCATCCAGGTACAAGATTTCGCAGTAGAGGAGAGTTTCTACTAGTTTCTATGCATACAGGACTAAAAGAAGCGGTTCAGTGGTTTAGTGGTTCAATGGTTCAATGGTTTAATTAAATCAATGTTAAACCACCTTTTCATAAAATTTGGTCCAAAACAAACCCTTGTTGAAGAACAAACGTATTGAAATGGAATATTTTTAAAGGCGCTTTGTGTGTCACCCTTACACTGGTTACAAATTACAATAGTAATGACAAAAAGAAAACTGAATTTATTTCGTTAGACCTTCATAAGTAAATGTTTTTCAAATTAAAAATGATTAAACTTTAAAGGTTAAAATATATTGATGGTTGCGGTGCATTCGAGGAGATAATTTTTTATTTACAATTGGTTAAACTAAATTATTATTTGTTTGATTTCCTTTAAAGGTATTATTTTTACTTTAGATGCTCTGAACCCTGTGGGCCTGGAGCTGTGAAGAAAATGACAGAGGTAAATATAAATAATTAGAATTTTTAGTCAAACAGGGAAAGGTATTTTTTCTATTAATGAACAGTATTTCCCGTTAACTATCACATCGTTTACAGAAATTAACCAATGTATGGTTAAAACGCTTCGTTGAGAAATTTGAACGTTTATGTTCGTACAGGTAAAGCTTTTATATCAATATACTGTACACAGCTTTTATATGCTTTAATATCAATACAATGTACAGGTACAGCTTTTATATCAATACAATGTACAGGTACAGCTTTTATATCAATACAATGTACAGGTCACACTTTGAACGTTAAATGGAAAGCGTGCCTTAACAAATTTAAAATCCAACTCAACGCCCTCGAGCGCTAATGCACATGGACATGTCAAACCTACAGACCCTTTTTTGTAAATAAACCCTAAACAGGCTGGGGGAAGGGGGGCGTTTTGCGCCCCCTCTGTAGTTTTTTGTCCTAGCACTCTCATTTTTGACACTATCATCGTGAAATTTCGTGACTTTTCATGAAAAGTAATTTAAAGGATTTTTTGTTAAAACATATTTTTTTTAATTGACAGGGTGGAAAAAATTCCGGTTTATGAAAAAAAATATAAAATAGCCCATAACTTTTTTGTGACTAAAGCTACATATTTAAAAACTATATATTTGAAAAGCCCTTGGAAAATGCATGTAGAAACATGTGTCACACTTTGATATTTCTTTAAAACAAAAAAATATTTTAAAATTTTTTTGACCCTTTTTTAAGCATTTTTTCGACTTTTTTCCACCCTCCCTAGCACCCAAACTATTAAAGTTATCGGTCTAATCTTTTTTTCTTTGAGGTGGTCATGAAAAATTGGGCAATGAATATGCATTTCAACCCTATAATTATTCTTTAAGGCCTTTTTCTAGGGTGGTGGCGCCAAACGCCCTCCCCCCGGCTTTACATAGATTCAGACACCCCAGCCTTTATAGGGTTAAGCTAACGCATCAACGCGACCAACGCTTGACTTAACTATTTTAACTATGAAACTACCAAGTTTATTGCTATTTATATTTTATAGGTTTTACATTAAAAATACAATTTTATATTTGAACTTAAGCCAGGAAATATGGTTACCTATTCAAGTGATTCAAAACAACTCAAAACATTCTTCAATTTACATTTTACATAAATATTAATATTTTTACTTTTTCGATTAATTTTGTTTAAACTAATAGTGCTCTACAATCCTTCTTAACTTTGGATGTGATTGTTGAATGTATTTTCTTTATTTCTGAAAATAAACATTAAAGGACTTAAGTCTTTGCCACATACTCATGCTTTCCAATCCATACATCTTTGCAACCTAATGAAAAAACCATTGGTATTTTAAACTTCTTAAATTATTTGATATAACAGAATTCATATTTTGACATATCAAGGTCAGCGATATCGGGTTGAAAAGACATAGGGATCAGAGAATTACTGAGTTTGTGGCAAACATTTCATTTCCTTTTGAACAAAGTTTTGAGACAGCTGGTGGTTAAGTCTGAACAGTATTGATTTAATGGCGGGATATCGTGACAAATTCTATTTTTCAAAATATAACAAATCTCAGTAAATTCAAATCTGACATTAGACATTTGATTAAAAATCATACTAAATACTAAAAATTTGCAACCAGCACCAAATAGATTCGTGTACAATGGCAACGTAGATAGGGTTTCCATTCGCAAAACTTTTGCGCAATTTTTGCGGAACGAAACGCAATATTTTTCTTTCTTTGCGCATCAATTTTGCGCGAAAAAAAACAACAATTTGCGTAATCATTCGCAAAAGTCATTTCGCGCAAAATTGCCCTATTCCGCTTTTGCGAAACTCAAGTTTTGCGCAATTCCGTAACAAGAGTTTTGCGCAAATCCGCAATTTCGTAAAAATCAAACGGTTGGTGACGGTGTGTGTTTCTTAGAATTCAATTCTGGAAAAATCTTGTTTTGGAATGTCTTCCTTTTGGTCACTTTTACATAATTGACCAATGACAATTAAGAAGAGTTCAAATCTCACAATTTTCTATTTATCATTTTTTAGACATTTTTTGCAAACATTTTTAGTATATAACTGGATTTTGCGATAAAAAATTCAATTTTTGCAAATTTGCAAATTTTTTTGCAGATTCTAAAAGTAGAGCACAAGAGCTTTCCAATGATGTATCATTTGTCATATTTGGACATCAAACATGGGATTTAGAGGGGGGGGGGTCAAATTGACACCCCCTAGCAAATCCTGGTTTTCAAGTACCCCAGCAGAGATAGGGTTAGTAATAGTGATAATTTTAGAATAAATTGCTTACCTTACTGTAATATAATAAGTGCAATTTTATGTGTTCTTTATTTTCTGTTTTTACACTTTTTTATTCAATCTTGGAAAACATGTTAACCAATGTGAAAACAATTTAGTTTTCCTTGTTATATTTGACACTTGTGACGTCGTGTATATTTGGTCCATTTCTCTGTTGCCACCTATATGTACTTGATATTTTATTTAACAAGCACTAATTTTCTAAACCCTTTCATAGTGTAACCTTCAGTAGTCATGAAATCTAACGTGCAAATTGCTGTATTGGTGTAGTTTGACAAGGATTTAATTTTAGTTTGTGCCTTGATTGTGTCCTTGAATGGGAAACAAAATAAATAATTTTCAAATAAAAAAGTTTAAACTCAATGAAACGTAACTACACAAAAATGACTGAACAAATTTCGTTCTGTCGTGTCTAAAGTAACATTTTTTGTGGAAAAAAATTATTTTTGATCTTTTTCCAGGGTGAAACTTGCTGCTGGGTTTGCAACACGTGTTTAGATTATGAATATATGGTGGATGAATACACGTGTCAGGTGAGGTAACACATGGATTGTTACAAAAGTTTGTTTATGTTCCAAAACGTGTCAAAAATTAAATTAGTGATATGAACGAAAATGAAAAACCTTGCATTGTTTTGAAACTGTTTTTTTTTAAGTAAAGGATTTCTTAAAATTTAACTTTGGAGAAGTAATTGGTAATGATATTTTAATTATTTTCATGCTTTATGAGATTTAAGTGTTAAAATATTGGTTTGATTTTTATGTCTAGAATAAGAATATCTTTAAATACATAATTTGTACATGATCATAAGTTTATCATGTTCTGTCATTAAGTGGATATGCCAATCAATTGAATTGGAATTATAATCCGTGAAATCAAGAGAAAACGACCTAAATTGGAGATATTATCTTTATATTATCTTTATAATACCTTTATTTTAGGATTGTGGTGTAGGAAGATGGCCAATAGCAAACAAATCTGCTTGTTTTGACATTGAGGTATGGAATTCTTAATGAACTCACAAAAGATGAGACTGAAGAAACGATTGTGTACAAATTATTTAGTTTTAAAACTTGCAGTTTTGCATTGCTTCTTCCTTTTGCAAAATTAAATTTTTTGATATATATTATAAATAAATGACTTACTTTACTTACTTAATATTTAAAATTCGGTGATGATGAGGGACCAAACCTCTATATAGTAAAAAAAGTAGATGTTAGTTTCACATTTTTGAAAATATATTTCATTCTAGGTTGACCCTTGTCAGTTCTTGAAATTGTTTCTGTCACAAAGATTAAAAACAAACTCACTTACATACTTACTTACTAACTAACTTACTTACTTACTTACTTTATAACTTATGATAGACAAAGTTAATGTTGAAAAAAAATTTATATATTTTAAGGTCTTATCCTTTGTAGGTAACTATGTACTATCTCACAGTGTTTAAACAGGAATTACAGAGTTGTATAAATACATATATTACAGAGTTGTATAAATACATATATTACAGAGTTGTATAAATACATATATTACTCGTATAACAGAAATATTTAGAGAAAACACAAACATAATGAAAGTTAAGTCTCTCTCTCCCCCCCCCCCATTTATTTCACAGAGATCTATACAATTTTGAAAGGTTTTTGACCGTGTTGACTTTGAAGTGTCGTCGCAATGACTTGGGGTTTGGTTGTACCTCACCAACTCGATTTCATTGTTTGTAGCCTTAGACATGAACAATTTAAAACTACAATGTGAGAGTTTATTTAATTTAAAAGAAGTAATTGGCAAAATCCTGTTAGATATTTTGGTTAATGCAGTGAACTGACAATGCGTTTCAAAACATGGATTCATTATTTATTATTCTCTAATATCCTCTTGCTGTATATATATATATACCTATTTATCTTCTGCATTTTCTCATTCTTTTCAAGATTCTACGTATAGAACATTTTTTCAAAT